CTCCCTTGCAAGACATATGTAGATAAAAGTATTGCGGACTCCTCCTCCCCTGGCGGGGACAGAGACCAGCCCCAGGAACTATTAACATTCCCAACTAAAAATGTCTTTCCCAAAACCACTTTCTAACAACCCTCACCCTCCCCTTTCCCTCTTCTAGTCCTCGCCTCTTTATAGACATCTTTTCGTTTTTAGTTTTGATATTGTATTTATGGCGTTGACTTGCAGATTTATTCAATTTTGCATTGATTGCCGAGGCTACCGTGGCTGCGATTTCAAGCCTGCAGCCGAAGTTGATCAAGATCTCATTGATCGGCTAAAGCGCGTTCATTTGGATTCTAAAGAAGCATTAGATGCTTTGGAGACTATTGTCGACGAACAACCTGCATGGAACAGAGATGAAGATTACTGACCCTTTAAACAGCTCCTGTATTTAACTCAAGTTTTAAGCAATGCTGAAAAACAAATATCAGCAAGCTAAAAGTCATGCCCAGTTGCTTTCATTTGAAAGTCATGCTCAGAGGCTTTCATTTGAATGGTCACATTTAAGGATTTCATCCACAGACTCAAAAGTTTGCCCCATCTTGTACAGCGTAATAGACGGCAACACCCTCTCTCCGGATTTACGCTTGTTTTACATCTAGAGATCGCCTGAAACACACTAACAAGCTACTGGAATGCGAACAACTTTCAGTGATTTTTCATAGAAAAACATCTAGAGATCGCCTGAAACACACTAACAAGCTACTGGAATGCGAACAACTTTCAGTGATTTTTCATAGAAAAACGAAATTGTAAGTGATTTATCTGACCAATTGCAATCCACGAAGACAAGTCAAATGACCAATCAAAACTCAGGGCATATGCATGATGAGGGAGCCAACGGCGGGAAAACGCGAGGAAGAGTAAATAACGATTGACTTTGGATTGATTCCGGTTGGTTGACAAAGTCGCGCGAGATTTTGTAGCCAATCATAGAGCCTGGCACTGTATGCAGAACCAACGGAATTGAGAAATTACATTTTATCCTTAATTTAAAACCCCTTAATTATAGACAAGCCTTTGTTTTTCTCTAACAGAAGATAGCATGGTCACATTCGGGACTACACGTTTGGCGAATTTTAAACACGCCCGCATCTTTTCCTGAGTCTCAAACATCTGTTTTAAAGTAAAGTTTTAAGTGTATCAAGATGGGTGAATTTAAATTCAATATCTTCATTTTAACTTTTAAATAGCTACTCGATTTGGGAATTTTTCATTCTTTTTACAACACGCAACCCCAACTTTGAAAAGCGTGATATAGAGCCTTATACATGTATTTACTGCGTACTATTTTAAAGTGATAAATTATTTGAAAACATTTTGTAAGTGTATTTGCTTCGCAGTAATAAATTATCACTACAACATTATGGGATGTGTATTTTGTGGTATCATCATCATCATCATCATCATCATCATCATCATCATCATCATCATCATCATCATCATTATCATCATCATTATTTTTATGATTATGATTACGATTATTATTATATTATTTATTATTATTATTATTATTATTATTATTATTATTATTATTATTATTATTATTATTATTATTATTATTAGAAACACAGGGCCAAATATTTAAACGTAGTTTAGCCAGTGGTTAACAAAAACACGTTCTAAGTCATTTTCAATTTGCCCAACGATTTTATCTAAATATCATTTATTGTGAACAGTTTTATGAAAACATTTAGAGAAGACTAGAAAAGCATTTATTTTCGTAAAACAACCGACCAAAGAAGAGATCTGGAGGTTTAAAGATTCGTTAAACGGCGGCTTAAGTTAGACTTAGTTTAAGTATTTGGCCCACAATTTTCAACCACGTAAAGCGGTAGCTCTTTCTTTCTTACAAAAACTCGTAGTTTGATGGGAAAGTATAACCAGGGAGTTATGAAAAAGACTACCCAAGTGAAAGTAGGATGGGACTCCTTCCCTCATCCCTTTTCCTGTCCGTGTACCTTGTAGGACGGATATTGCTAACAGACCACACCCTTAAGGAACGAATTTGGAAGTGAGAGGGTACGAGGTTAGCATTTCTGGTGGACCTGGTGGCGTAATTAAATGTACCGATATATCCTAGCCTATTCTTGTGGAAGGTTCCATTGGTACCCTCCCTCCTCCCCCGCAAAATAAAATGCACTTTATTCGATTGTCAACGTGTTTAGCACGAAAGTACTAATTCATCATCAAGTCTCATCGCGCCACTAGGCGCCTATATAAGGCCTCCAAAAGTACTAATTGGGGACACCATTTTTACGTCTCCTACGGGACCGGCATTTTACGTGAAGGAAGTACCTTCATTTCTCAGTTATTTTAAGACCCTGAGTATTGGTCCGACCCCGTAATCGAACGCACGACCTTCCCCTCTGTAGTCAAGCGCTCTACCGACTAAGCAATTATGCGAAACTGAAAGTTAAGGAACAGGTATTTAGAATGGTTCCATTTGAAAATTTTTTAAGGATTTTCTTTAAAACACCGAGAGTCGTGGCTCTTTTATCCTGGGCACGAGTACCGAGAAAAATCATTCGTTTCCAATCCCTTTCGAAATGAATGCACGCGTCTTTCCTGGGCATCAGTATGTAAAATCAACATGGCGGCTTTCGTGTGGGCTAGAAGACTTAATCAATCTTCTTTCTTAGGGTGTTTTCTGTCTAATCTCTCCTTTGTATCCGAAAGCCGTAGTTTGTTTAGGTTAGGTCTGTACGCTGGAGATCTCAAAGGTAGAAAGCAGGGGCTTCTTAGACGAGATTTTTCAACTGAAGAGGTAAGTATAAATTTTCGGTACCATGTCACATTGAACAGTACCATAGCTGGCATGTGAAAC